GAGCCTAATGCATGGTGAACCTGTGAGAACTGGAGCAGGAGAGTGGCCCTGGAGACTAGAATGCCCACTATCCTGTTCAGCGTTTATGTGTTTTGGCCTTAAAAGAACATTTCAGATTTTTGGTGTTTGGCAGTGCTCTTCACTTCCACATGCACGTGTGCACGTGCATGCACATGTGTGTGTGTGTGTGTGTGTGTGTGTGTGTGTGTGTATGTATATGTGTATGTGTAGAAGCTGGCTGAAGGGGGCTTTGGGGCCTTTGTAGTAGAAATGTAGGTGGTATATGCAGGAGGTGCTGACTCGGTTTCATAGATGGTAATTTTGTGAGTGTATAACTCTTCTTTGTCATTAATATATATTTATGGCACCTGCACAGCTTGCTTTGAGGTACACAGAATGTAGAATGCCTCTGGCCCCCAAGATGTGCCAGGTAACTGGAGAGCTAGGCTTAGACTGCCCTTTCTGGGCGTAGGTGACCAGACAAGGCTCCCTGCATTGCTCAGACAGTGTCTTGAAAGGGACCATCACTTTGTGCCAAGAGATACCCCACCTGGCCCTGATTCAAGCCAGAGGTGTGGAGCTGTAGGTCTCCGATTCTGCTTCTTTTTGGGAGAGTTGAGCAGGGTGTGGTCAGTGCTTTCTGAAGGCTGTGAGTGGCAGAGACAAAGATACATGCAAGAAAAGATACATCCACTGAAGAAAGAGTGGAGCAGGTCTGTCAGCAACATGTGTACACACAACAGTACAGAGATACGCACATACAACAGCACAGGCAACGATTCCCACACATGCACAAACATAGAAACACGTGCACATGTGTCCGTACAGAACAGACACGTACATTCTTATGCCTTTGCTTATCTTGTCCTCTTCATCTCAAATGCCCACCCTTTTCATCTTAATCTATTCAAATTCAATTTCAGAGTCCAAACCTGTGTATCAGCTAGGTTCCAGTCACACCATTAGTTTGAACAAGGAAACTTTAATATGAAGAATTAAGCACTAGTAAAAGGTGGTAACTCCTAAAAGTGGTAAAAGGAGATTCTGACAGTGTAGAAGTAGCATACACATAGCAGCTGCTCCTTCTGGGGTTCAGGGATCATGACCAAGTATGAAATAAGGGTGTAGCAGAGGCTCTTGCATGCCTCAAGGCTAGAGGTCAGGCCTTGATGGAGCAGGCAAGGTTGCCTAGGGAGGCTGGTGGTGAGGAGCTACGTGGAAGGCCTGAGCCGGAGGGTCCGTGGAGCAGCCTGCTAGCTGGCAGAGCAACCTAAGGGCCAGAGTTAGTCTGTGGGAGGGTCAGAATGGTAGTCAGAATGCTCATTGGAATGTGTAGGCTACAGCTGGTCTGTGAGGCCCCTACAGTGGGTACTTCCTGTCTTTGCCAGAAACAGGGTGCTGGAAACAGTGGGGGAGAGTCTTGCTCCTCTTGTGACCTCACGATCCCAGAACCCCCAGGTGACAAAGAAGGAATAAGCCAGAATCCAGCTCCCATAACACAAAGCCAGGCCCAGAGGAGCGCGTCTGGAGCTGAGAGGCCATACTGACTGTCTCCAGCTTCCAGGAGTTTGACTTAGAAGTTTTTTACTTTATGATGGTGCAAATGTGATATGCATTTGGTAGAAATTGTACTTGGAAATTGTGATCGTTTTCCAGGCTGGCAATGTGAAGTCTGATTCTGTCTCCTGATACTGGACAGCCTCAGTGAGCCACAGCTGCCAGTCAGCCGCATGATCAAGAGGGAGAACATCTGATACTCTAGTGGGCTGCATTGCTAAGCTGGTGTTCAGTAGGTTAGGTGTATTAAATGGATTCTGACTTGAAATAATTTCATCTTGTAAAGTGTCTATCCAGATGTAACCCCATGGTAAGTGGAGGAGCGTCTATTCATTTGTAACCAGCACATGTCCTGGTGCCTTCCCCTGCCCCCCCTGCATGAAGTGAGTCTGAGCCAGAGGGTTTATGGGGCAGTCTGCGTAGAAGTAGCAAACATCTAATTCAGTCCTCTTGTTTCTTTCACCCATGACTTCCCACAATACCTAGTCCCAAGCTCTTTCCTATACCTGCTGCTAGGTGTTATTTTCTGTTGTGTGAATGTCCCTGTGGGTGTCTTGTCTGGGCAAGGGCAGGGGACTGGGCCCATAGGAATGCTCCCCTATGTGGTGGTTGATGTCTTTATTGAGAAAGGGGAGTGAGGGGAGTGTCTTCAATCCCCTTTCAATCTTCTACTTTCTTTGGGTGTGGATTGTCCTCATTGTCCTCTTGGGTTCCAGAACAATTTAGATGTCTGTGGGCCAAGGAGGCCTTACTGGGAAGTAGCTGGCTAGATGTTATGGTTTGTGTCTAGATGTTCTCCAGAGCCTTGTGCAGTCATAGGTGGAGCTTTTTGGAGGTGGCTGGATCTGGAGTGTGTGATGCTGGGATCGAGGGTGTGTGATTACTAAATTAGTCCACTGATTGGTTTGACATAGTTCTGGTTAGGATTAAGGGTGCCCCACTGGGTGTGAGTGCTGTCTGCCCTAAGAATGGGTAAACTAGATAAACTACAAGGGATACAAAGAGGCTCTTTGTTCGTTGTTTGTGGCTTGCTGCTTCCTGCTTCTTTGCTTGCTGCTTGCTGCCGTCTGCCTGCCCGCCTACTCTGTGATGCCCCTCTGCCATGCCATCCTGCCGTGGAGCCAGCCAAGTATGAACTGAAATCTCTATGGACTGTGAGCTAAATAAACCTTTTATAGTTTAACTTTGGGTGTTGGGTATTTTGTCCTAGCAATGAGAAATGTGACTAAGGCACTGGACCTAGGCTCTGATCGGCCACATGGAGAGCTGTGGATGCCTTTTTGGCTGCCGCATATTCTGCTGTCAATTGTGCATTTTCTCCTCTGTTGGGTTGGAGCTGGGGGCTGATTATTTCAGCTGCAGGAAGTTGTTTGTCCATATGGCTTGAACTCTGGTACTGACTGCAGGGAGATACCCAACCTCATGTTTGACCACCTTCCCCCGTCTTTCCTGCTTCCTTAGAATAGCTGAATGTGGCTTTGGTCAGGCAGGGACCTGATTTCACCAAGCTCAACAGGACCTCCCACCATGTGATATAGTCAGTTTCCAGTTCTTAAGAGAATCTCTCCTCCCTGTGTCTCTTTGACCTGTCTGGGGATGCTTGTGCACACACTTTCTCAATTAGAATGAGCTTCCTTCTCACTGAACCTTCCTGCCAGGGAATAGAGATCTCATGGGTGTCACTTGGATCAGGGGTTTACATCCAGGCTGGAAAGCTCTGTCTATGGGAGTGGAGCTGTGTGTACATGGGATTCCCCAGAACAAGTTGGGGTAGGAGGCAGAGACGTCCAGCAGAGCTGGAAATGGATGGCTCCTGAGGGCCCAAGGACAGCCTGAGGCTTGGGGTCTGCTGCTGTGGAGGTGGACTGAGGGGGCTCCTGGCTGCTGGAGCAGGTGTTCAGGGCTGGAATGTTTGCCTCTTAATTTCTAAAGTAGCAGTTTCCTATGTGGTTGGCTTGGCAGCTGATTATGCAGGCCCTTTGAATATTTCTTTCATCTTTGTTATCAGCTGTTATTTAACTCTCCTCATGGTTTTATTAGGTGCTAATTACGAGTATGTCAGCATCCCTTGTAGCAGTTGAGAGTGTAAGTTCATCTTTGATATTCCCTCTTTGTTAACTTACTTGGTGAAAGCGGGTACCAGGTTTTATTGGTAAGCTTTTTATCACTGTGACTAAACACCTGCCCATACATAACTTAAAAGAGGAAAGGCTTGTTTTGGCCCACAGTTTGAGAGGGTTCAGTCCATGATTGGCTGGCTCCCAGGCAGACGCATCATGGTGGAAGGACATGGTGGAGAAAAGCTCCTCATGTCATGGCAGCCAGGAAGCAGAGAGACAGCAGAACGAAACAGAGGGACTGTACATCCTTCAGAGGCATGGCCTTAGAGGCCCCGCCTCCAAGGGACCCCACCTCCTAAAGCCTCTTCAGCTATGAGCTCATCAGTAATTTTATCCACCGATGAGTCTAGCACCCTCACAATCTAATCCCCCTCTGAAAGCCCCACCTCTGAGCGCAGTAGACTTCTTGGGGACCTTTAGACCCGACCATAACAGGTCCCCGCAGGGCCCTGGGATCACTTGTCTTCTGTATGTGTCCAAGGTTCTGTCCTGCCTCAGAGGCTACAACTCCTGGAAGGCAGGGCCCTTGTAGTCCCAGTACTCCTGGCTGGGCTGGGGCATGACTGGAATGCACAGCCATGGACAGGTGGGGCCACCTCCCAGCTTTGGAAAGATGGGTAAGCAGCAGGATGTAAGTTAAAGCTTCCTGTATCAGACAGCCTGCCCTGGTGCCTGCTCTCTCTGTGGTTCATACCCCCCAGTAATAATAGTCCACCAATAAATAGTCCCATGCTAAAGATTGCTGCATTAAAAAAAGCTGTGGACTTGCAATGTTTTCTAGCCTTTCCTTTGACATTTATTAGTTATTTTATAAACAAAACAACTGCATTTCTCATCTGTAAAGGTACCAACACTCACCTCCCTGAGCTGCCTTGAGGATTACATGACCATGTTTTATCAGTTGTAGAACTCCAACATGAAGTTATAGAGCTCCATCAGTATATCTGAGGGGCGTGCGGCAAACACATTAACTTAGGTGTACCCTTGAATGAGTCCTGAGTAGGTTAGGTTTGGCTAAAAGTCTTGAACATTCATGTCTAAGGAATAAGACTCAACCTGGAAAGTTTTGGTGGAGGAAAGGAAAATGGAAACATCAGAGACTGGCCTCAGTGTTAGATTGATATTGATTGCTCTGGCTGGGTACAGGAAACGGGAGGAGTGTGTGTGTGTGTGTGTGTGTGTGTGTGTGTGTGTGTGTGTGTGTGTACACGTGTGCGCATGTCCTGGACACTGGGGAGTAAATGAAGATGGCTGGGAAGGGGAACAGTGCCCAGGGAACAGTCTGCACTCATACTTCTCTGGCCTTGGCCTTTTTCCCTGCAGGTGCATCTCCGCTCTGCCAGGCGTCTCTGTGAGCTCTGCTGTGCCAACCGGGGGACCTTCATCAAGGTGGGCCAGCACCTGGGGGCTCTGGACTACCTGTTGCCAGAGGAGTACACCAGCACGCTGAAGGTGCTGCATAGCCAGGCCCCGCAGAGCAGCATGCAGGAGGTCCGCCAGGTCATTCGCGAAGACCTGGGCAAGGAGGTACCCAGCCCTGGCTGGAGGGATGGGATGGGGAAGAGGCCCAGCAGAGTTCTTGCTGCCTAGGCCCAGGACACGGGGGTTCACCACTCATGTGGTAGCAAGTGTCAGAGCAACTCCGTGCTGCAGTCAGAGGCCAGAAGGAACCTCGATGGTGGCACTAAAAAATATTAAACTTGAAATGTCCGTGTTTAACTGTTATGGTTGGCAACTTGATAGTGTCTGTCGACTGCTGAGGGCTTACTGCATACTGACCACTGTGCTGTGTTCCGCACACTGTCTCATCCTCATGGCAAGTGTAGGAAGTGGGTACTGTCACTGGCCCCATGTTGCAGACGAAGGCTGGAGGCTGAGGTGCTCAGGTCAAGTGTCCAGGGCACTGTTCGTAGGTGATTCCAGTGCGCTGCCCTGCACTGCCATCAGCAAGCTCCCCAAGACATCAGTGCTGTGGCTTTTGTGGAACATCCCCGTAGGCATCTGTTCAGCCTCTGCTGTTCCTCCCAGTGAAAGGAGGCCTACTCTCTTTTCACCCAGGGTAGCCCGGTCTGTTGGCAGCGCGGTAACTTTATGAAGTGCTTCCTGCTGACACCCTCTGATGGCAGCCTGGGTGCACTCACTTGTGCTCATACCAGTGACTTGTGGGTTGTCCTTTCGTGCCAAACTGGGCATAGTTGCATAGACCCTGCCTGGCTTGTTCTGGTCACCATGCTTTCTGGCCACAAGGAGGGATTTGAGCAGCACGTCAGTTTCACATACAGAAACTGTGTGATATAGTTTGAGGTTCCCTCTGAGCTCTCTACTGAAAGCTTTCCTTTCCTCCTCACCTGTCACTGTATCCGTAGTTCTCCTGCTAGAGAATCCTCTGGGTTGGCTAAACTTTTCTGAGCAAATACTTTTAAAGGCAAGCCCTTAGTGGATGGTTTTGCTGAGACTGGTGTATAACTTTTGATTCCTCCTAGCTGCCCTTAAAGTACAATTCTTAGCAGGGCTTTCAGGGCCTGGCCCCTTTGGTGACCATCTCCCACCTGTTTCATGAAGACACCTCAGTTGGGCAGAAGGGCACAGTGGCTGGAGTTTCGACTCTGGAGCCAGAGCCTTGAATGTAGCAAAACGGTATCCTTTTGGTGCCTCACTCTCTTTTTCTGTGAAATGGAGACGACCATGGTGCCCAGGGCACGGTTCGCTTAGTACAGCACTTTATGCGGAGCAGAAACTCTGCACACATCAGGCACTGGCTGTGGCCGCACGTGCTCTGCTGTGCTGACCTCTGCGCTGCGTGGTGTCACTGTGCCCTGGCCACACTGCACCGCTCCGCTCACACTGTGTGCTCTCAGTCCTCAGTGCCTGTGCCCATGGCCCCCCGTCTGCCTGGAATGTTTTTACTCCATTCTCCCTGATAAGCGATTCAAGGCTCTTGTCTGGTTGTCCATTCATTTAGCAAATTCCAGGCAGGGGCTAGGTGCTGGTTTCCCAGTCAGACTCCAGCTCCTCTGTGCAGTCTTCTCCAGCTCTAGGCCCTTGTCTATACCGGTCACTTTAGTCTCCGCAGAACTTTCCTCCCTCCCCTCCCCACCCCTGACTTGCACAAGCTATGGGCTCGGTTACTTGAATCTTCCCTTCAGGTTAGAAAGCCTTTGAGGATGAAGACCTTTTATCTTGTATCTTTAGCACGAGAATAATGAGGTATACAGTAGGTACCAGTGTTTGTTTAATGAACCAGTGGATAAATGAGTGACAACTTCCCTAGGCAACTTAGGCCAGGGCCAAGAATAGGGGCAGAGGTTTGGTGAGGACCAGTTGTTCCATTCGTACTGATGCTGGCCTCCATTCTAGGTCCCTTTGTGGGAAACTGGTACTGGGTGGCCAGCATGTGGCTCATGGTGAGCCACTCCTCAGCGCTGGCCTGGACTGGAGGGAGACCGCACCGTCTGACTGTGGAGCCCAAGTCATGCTGGAGGGGAGCACGGAAATGTCTGTGACTTCCTTGCACTGAGGAACATTTCCTCCAAAAAGAGAGTCTGGAAGGCAGTTCAGCTTTGAGCTGGAGTCCGGGAGCAGCCTGTAAGCTAGGGGAGCAGGCTTAGGGAGCGAGGACCCTGGGCAGAGGGGACGGGGCTGGCACAAGGCTGGCCTGAGAGTGCCTTTGCTTCTTGCAGAGGCTGTTGACTCCAGCTTCCAACAGCACGAGATTCACCCCTGAATTAAAACTAAATAAGTCGTGGTACTAACAGTGGGAGGCGCATCGTTGCTGGCGTGTGGTGGCTTGGTGGGGTTGGATGTGAGGGGAAGGCAGCAGGAGGTTAACCCTTGGAAGCCTCTGGGGAAGAGAGCGGGGCAAGAGCAGGACAGCAGCCCCTCCACTCAAGGATAGAGTAAGGTGAAAAGTTTGGGGAGTCGGCAGTCACGGTGTCCTCCGCACACCCTGCCAGCGTGTGGGAGGATATTTGGAGGTGGAAGACATCTCTTGCATCTTCAGTCGTGAGCCAGGTGGCAGGGTGGCTCTTGCCCCAGTTTGTCTGGAACTCCTTGAGAAAGTGAGGTTAATGTCAAGGTTGCGGTTCTGAGGGGGCGTCCCCATGCTGGGAAGCTCTGAAACCGCTAATTTCTTACCCCACCCCCCACGGTCATGCAGTGGAACTCTTTCCTCTCCTCTTCTTCCTCCTCCTACTCCCCTTTCTCCTCCCTGCCGGGAAGGCAGCATTTATTCCCTCATGACACACTTTCTAGTCTGTGGGTGGAGGGAGGGGAACAGGCCAGGTGGAGAGCAGGGTGGGCGGGTGTGGGGGTGTGAGGGCGGGGGAAAGTCACTCACTTTCCACTTCCCTCCCCCTCCGCTCTTCCCGTGACACCTCTTGGGGAGCAGCGCCCACCCCCGGACACAGTCTGAGCAGGTGTCATGGCTCCTGGGTGCTGTGTTGGCCCTGGACTCTTTCATGGGGGCTCACTTTCATCCTGGCTCCAACTGTGCTGTTGAGAGGAGTTGGGTCTGCCCTAGGTGGCTGTCTTTCTGGGTCGCAGGCCATGGCCAGGCCCTGAGGTCACCCCAGGTTAGGAGACTGTGAAGTGCCCCTGAGCTTCGGCTTGCAGGCTGCCTAGACAGGAGCGCACGGTGGTGCTTCCTGCCTCTTGGGGGTCCTTCCCATCCCCAGAGCCCTGGTGGGCCACGAGTATTCTCAAACTGTTCCTGTCCCAAGTAGGTGGGGCTGGTTCAGAGAGGTGTCCCCTGCAGGGGATGGGTGGTGAGATGGAGGGTATAGCACTCGGGATCCCACAGCCCAGGAATATATTTGGTTCCAGATCTGTACAAATTCCTGGAAATGAGCAGGTGCCATCAGGGTAGAGAAGACACATGGGCACCATCTTTTCCTAGAGGTTGGCTTAGCAGAGGGTGACCTGAGGGTCGCTTGGCTGAGAGCAGCAACAAACAGCAGGATGAGACTTAAGGTCTTCTAATTCCTCAGAAGGTGGGATCATTTCTGCCGCATCAGGTGTCATGGCTCTGGACTGAGTTGGTGATGGTTTCAACTGGTTCACTAAACTGCCCCTGGGGGCCTTGGGTCTAGGTGCAGTGCTGATTTTGACCAGCAGATGGCGCATGAGCTTGCTCGTGCGGGAGGGGTGTTGGAGACCTGGCCCTTCTCTAAAGGAGGGACAAGGTGAAGAAGACGGTGGTACTTTCTACTCTTGGGCATGGTCCAGGCGTCCAAGCTGACATCTCTCCAACTTGAATGGGGCAGGTGTGGGGTGCACACGCAGGTCTGAGCTATGAGGCTGTTGACTACTGCTGTGGTGAGTGTGCCCCGGATGTGGCGCTGTTGGGAGGTGGTGGAACCGCTAGGGGGAGGAGTCGCATGGGAGCCCTTAGGTCACTGGAGATGTCCCAAGGGATAGTGGGACCTCAGCCCTTTCTTGTCTCTCTTCTGCTTCCTGGCCATCAGGTAGGCCAGGTGCCTCATGCTCCCTCACCTCCTGACCTCTTGCCCTCCTGAGTATGGCGTTCATGCAGGGGGCCTGGCATGGTTCTTCATCACAGCTGTGAACCCATCCTGACGCCTTCCTCATCTGGGTAGTGAGTCCTCTGAGGCCTCCTGCAGGTTCGGACAGCCTGTGATTCTGTGGTTCAGTACCTTTTTCTTCTTTTTTCCATTCCTTTTCCTGCTTGCTTGTTCAGGCAGTTGGTATTTGGTGAAAAAGGCCAAATGCTGGACACACAGTGTGGCCAGCGTGGGGGTGACCTCGTTCCAGTCTCCACAGTTTAGGTTCAGGGGAGATAGTGCTTATCGAGGTAATAGCTGGTTGTGTTAGTGCCCTAGGACTTTGCCGGAGGAAAGAAGGGTTCTGTTGGGGGGATGGAGCCAGGTGGCCGCTGTTCCAGGCTCTCAGAGATGGATGCGATGGAGGAGGTGCAGGGTGGAGTAAGGAGTCACTGATCCACGCCTTGGGGTGGGTAAGATTTTGTTGACTACAAGGTAGCAGTTAGGAGCTCAGGTTGCTAAGGTGGGGCTGAGGTCACATTTCCAAGGGCTTAGAATTTTCTTTACAATATGTGAGCCTGAGGGAAAGCGGAATTGGAGAAGGACCTCAGCAGAGGAAGGAAGAAGGAGCTGAGATAGAAGAAGGAGGAAAGGGTGGGCTGGGCGCTGAAGGAACTCCCACAGTAACCTGATCCTCTTAGTAATGTGGAGATGAGGTCCTCTTTCACGAGTGGGGAAGCTTGAGGTGGGTGGAGAGCCTGGGGGCCGAGTCAGATAGGCCGTAAGAAATGATCAGTGAACCAGTCTGCTGCGCCGGTGCAGTTGTTTTTGGTTGTGAGCACATCTGCATGTATCAGCCAAGTCAGATTTTGTTACAACGTATTTCAAAACACGATGGAGGTTTGTGTGTTGTCTTGGAACTTGGTTGTGTTAGAGAAGATTCTTTCCACCTCTGAACTGTTACGAGAAACTGAAGGAAATGGACCAGCTGCGGGGATGCAGCGCAGAAATGCCTTACTTAGGGGTAGA